TCAACTGTGAAAAGTGGAGACGATAATAATAGTACCTCCCCCGGAGAGCTGTTGTTGGGACTGAATGTGCTAATACATGTGAAGTGTTTGGGCAAGTGTCTGGCTCATAGTAAGCAGGCAGTAAATGTCAGCTATTATTATTCCTGCCTATAAGGGATTCAGAAGACAATATGGCCCCTATTTGTTTAAAGAGACATGGAATCGAAAAGATTTTTCTTTTTCTCTCTTCAGGCTTCACAGTATTTATGGTTGAATTTTAGCAAGGGTGTCAGCCAAATCAAATTCTTTTTTTCTCCCTTGAAGATGAAGAAAACATTTTAGAATCTTTTTTCTTTTTGCTTTTTGGGTCACACCTGGCGATGCACAGAGGTTATTCCTGGCTCACGCACTCAGGAGTCACTCCTGGCGCTGCTTGGGGGATCATATGGGATGCTGGGGATCGAACCCGGGTTAGCCATGTGCAAGGCAAATGCCCTACCCCCTATGCTATTGCTCCAGCCCCATGTAGAATATTTTTGACACTGTACTCAAGCTTCTTCTTCCAGCTCTATCAGACTGGGAAGAGTCCTCAAGGGCACTGGAACTCGCACTCCAGCCTTCAGAGAAGGCCCACCCTTGTCTCCCTCTGAAAATTTTGTTTCTTTGTTTTTTGACTGTATCCACTTGTGCTCAGGAATCACTCCTAGCTATGCTCCAGGGACCATATGTGGCACTGGGGATTGAACCTTGGTCAGCTGTGTGTAAGGCAAGCATCTTACCTACTTTACTAGCTCTCAAATCCTCCCCTCAAGAATTTCTAATCAGGGAGGGGGCCAGAGTGATAGAGCAGGTAGGGCATTTGCCTTGCACGCGGCCGACCCCCGGGTTCAATCCCCAGCATTCTATCCCCAAGCACCGCCAGGAGTAATTCCTGAGTGCAGAGCCAGGAGTAACCCCTGAGCATTGCTGGGTGTGACCCAAAAAGCAAAAGCGAAAAAAAAAAAAAAAAGAATTTCTAATCAGGGAAAAAGAGGCATGAGATGGTGAGGCTGCCCCATCTCATACCATCTTGGCAGTCTGCTCTAGCAAGATGATCTGCCTTACACTTTAACTTGTTTTGGATATTTAGTGAAGAGATTTTAAAAGTGGTCCTCTAAAGCTGTGTTTCTCAGCCTTTTCCTGACTGTATCCCCTATGAACTTGTACCTTCCTATGGCCCTCTTGTTCTACCAAATGGCCCCCTAATATTGTGCCATGGTTCTCCATTACATAATTTTCACCTGAGACCCCCTTGGAATATCCTGTAATCCTGGAAGGATGTCATATTCTACCCAGTTGAGAAGTGCTGCTTGAGAGGAAAACAATGTTTCAGGCTAAGGCAGGGAACTCATTTTTCTGTCCTTCAGAATTGTTTGCTGAAGACACGCTGCAAGTCTCAAAATGATGATGGGCTCTTTATGTATTGTGACAAAGTGAGTTTTGCTACCACCAGCAAACAAAGGCTAGGTGGGCACTAGATGAATCTTCCAGAGGGCTGGTCTCTGATTTTGTCACCTTTTCTCTCTCTTTTGGAAGAGAAAAAAAGTTACACTACAATACAAGCGGAACCAGATCTCTGACATAGAAGATGCAGAGTACTGGTTACAGATCTTTAACTCTTTTTTTGTTTATTCTATTATGTTTTATGGAGAGGCTTACTCCTGGCTCTGTGCTCAGGGATCACTTCCTGGTGGGGCTCAGGGGTTGGACGGGGTTGACCACATATAGGGTAAGTCCTTTACCATCTCTCTGGGCCCATGACCCCTAACTCTTCTGCCAGTTCTGTCCTTGACCTGAGTCCTGTGCTCAAACAATATCTCCTGACAGGCTGTGGAGGTTGCCAGAGGGGCACAGGCTTAACCTCCTACAGATGAGCTCAGGAACGTGCTTTCATTTCATCCAAGTTCAACAACCTATTAGCTCTTTGAGCATTGGTAAGTCACTTCAGCACACTGAGCAGCCGCTCCCCTTGCTATAAAGTACAGATAGTACAGCGGATAAGGCTCTTAGCTTGCATGCAGACCATGCCGGTTTGAGCTTCAGCACCATGTATGATTCCCGCTGAACACAGAGTCAGGGGTGGCCCTTGAGTACCACAGGGTGTGGCCTGATGCCCCCATAGAAAGTAAACATAAAATGCATATATAAATCTCAGTGCTATGAAGACCAAATAAGTTAATGCTGTATATGGCATAAACATATATGCACAGCCAACTTCACTGGCTGAAATTATCGAACAGTCTGAGGACTCCTCTAAGACAAAGACTAGATCTTATTTATCTATACATTTTTTTTTTTTTTTGCCTTGCACAGGATCTGGTTCCAAAAAAAAAAAAAAAGTTTAGAGAATGACTACATAATTCATTGACTATAACTGTCTGTTGGCATGAATTCCTATCCAGGATCAAGTATTTGGGGGGCCAGAGTGATAGTACAGTGGGTAGGGCATTTGCTTTGCATGCCGCTGATCTGAACTTGATCTCAGACACCCCACATGGTCCCCTGACCCCTCAGGAGTGCTCCCTCAGCACACAGCTCAAAGTAAACCCTGTGCACCATCTAGTGTACCTCCCAAATAAACAATAAAAATAAAAAACATTTGTGACAACTTTCTTAGAGAAATCCATCCCCAACTCCTTCCGTGTCTCTAATTTAACAGTTATTTAACCCAGAAGCTTCTCTTTCAAAGTGGAAATGGGTCACTTGAGGCATGGGTCACTGGAGTCACACTAGAGGTATGGCTTCCCACCCTGCAGGGGTGGTCACTGTCACAGGAGCATTCTACATTGTTTTTCTAGCCAGGTGAAAAAAAAAAGTATGAGGGAATCACTCCTAGCTAGGTTAGCTGGGGAAGGGGAGAAAAACTGATGTATGTCTGATATACTCCGACTTATCCATGAGGAACCTATCCTGTGGGCTACAGGCATTTCTAAATGCTGGAGCCTGAGGCAGTCGCAAGGAAGGAGGAGTAAGAAAGCATCTCTGGAGAAACTAGAGAACAAGATGAGATGGGATGAAAGGAAGCTAAGTGGGGATCCACCAGAGGAAGATGGAGACGGGATGGATATAGGACCCTACCCATGGTGGGGAGTAACTGTGCTAGGGCAAAGCCTCTAGACACGAAATAGAAAGGGCGCTACCTGGGAAATGAAGAGTGGATCTGATCTATTTCACTTAATCACTTAACTTCCCGTTAGTCGTCGATTTGCTCGAGCGGGCGCCAGTAACGTCTCCATTTGTCCCTGTCGCGTGCTAGTGTAGCCCAATGGCATCTCTTCGCTCCGGGAACATGGAGGGCCTCAAACCGATCGTTCATGATCTATTTAATATTGCATTAAATGAAAACGGGGGTTGGGTGAGGGAATGAGGTTACATTTTAGCTGGAGATGTTTTCTCTAAAAAATCCACATTGTGGGGCTGGAGTGATAGCACAGCTGGTAGGGCGTTTGCCTTGCACGCGGCCAACCTGGGTTCGATTCCCAGTATCTCATAGGGTCCCCTGAGCACCGCCAGGAGTAATTTCTGAGTGCAGAGCCAGGAGTAACCCCTGTGCATTGCCGGGTGTGACCCAAAAAGCAAAATAAATAAATAAATAAATAAAAATCCACATTGCATGCCATACGGTGAGGGTGGGGTGCAACCCTAGAGTGAACTGTCTTGAACCCCCTTAACTCAGGGGTTCTCTCCACATTGGGCTGCTTAAGGAAAGCACCCACCGCTGGCCACACAGCATGAGAGGTAGAGCCAGCTTGCTTCTTGCAAGTCCAGGGCTTGCAGAGGGAGGGTGGAGAGTCGCCTCAAGGCCTTCACAAGACCTCGGGAGCCCCCCCTCTGCCCTCCGGGGCAGATAGCTGATTTATTTGCTTCCGGGAACGTCCTGAGACGAAGCTCAGCAATTGCAGTGAGTGCCCGATCTCTTGGCAAGCGGAGCAGCTCCTCCGCGTTCCCAGCTGCACGGTATCTAATTCACAAACGCACCATCTTGCATGGAAACACTTCTACGGAAAACAAGCCGCTCGGGGAGCGAGGCAGGCGAGCTAAACACCATTCCAAGGGATTTGTTTCTAGGTCGCTGGGTTGGCGTCTTTCCCCCTGCCCGCCCCCTTCCCACAGGGATTTCTTTGGGAGCCCACGGCCCGTCTCCCATCTCCAGAACCCACTCTGAAAAGAGGTGAGAAACGGCAAGTCAAGCAACGGGCACAAAACGGGATTTGGCTGGACGCTGGCCTCTGCCAGGACAAAGTAGTCACTACAGTCCGTTTCTGGGCTCAGATTTTAGAGGGATCCTGCCTCCCCCCTGGAAACCTGGTTAAAGGAAATTAAGGCCTCTCTGAAAGGTAGCTAAGATTAGAGGCCTGGGTTTCCGTTTTCTGTGTTGCTGTGGGCCGAACGCCCAGGTCGGTCAGCGAGTTTCTCTCTGGGTGGAATGACGAATTCTTCTCTCCTGGATTCTAAAATGATAACTTTGCTTGGTGCTGCAGCTGCGAACGTCTGGCGCCCAGCGGCCCACTCCTGGAGGTGGCACGACGGGGGTGGGGAGAGACGGGGGTTGGGTAGGGAAGGGGAAAGAGCCGTGCCTCAATTGAAAAAAAAGAGAAAAGTTGAGCGCGGCGACAAGTAACGGCGGCTTCTCGAGGCTTCGGCCCCTTTAAGTGCTTCACTGACTCAGCTAAGCTTCCCCCTCAGGTCGCGTTTTTTATGAATGAAAAACGTCCTTACATTCATTATATAAACAAGCTCGTGCTGATTGGCCGCCGGCCCCCGGTGCATAAATTATGTAAAACAGACCCCTGAGAAGGCGGGGCGGGACACGCCGCGGACCAATGACGGCCGGAGTTGACGGGGCGGCTTGGCTGGATTTGCACGCAGACAGGGTAAACAAGAGGTGATCGACAGCCGCGGGAGCGGTCTCGGGCCAATAGGAGCCAGACGGGGCCAGGGCCGTGGGCCAATAGCAGCGGGCGGAGCTGCAGGCCGCTGGGGGCCGGGCCAGCGCTCCAGCCTGGTTGGCAGCTGCGGCGCAGAGTCCAGCCGCTGGTGCGCGGAGCGGTTCAGCGTCCTCGGAGCGGTTCGGTCCAGCCATTCGCTCAGGCTCCCGGGCCCGGTGCGCGCGTGCGTGAGCGCGCCTGCGCCTCGGGGCTGCTGCAGGGAGAGGAGAGCGGCCAGGTGAGGGGGCGTCGAGGGCCTGGGGCCGAGCGGGGGAGACGGGGGAGCTGTTCGAGGGACCGATCGGGAGGGCCCAGGTAGCGGGGAGTTCACGGGCGGATTCAGGATCTGCATAGTTGGGGTGCACTTTCTGTCTAAACTGCGCCCCCGCCCCCGCCCCGGGGGGTGGGGGCTGAGTGTCGTCTCCGACCGCGGCCCGGCCCGGTCCGGTTCGGTTCTTGCGAGACGTCGGGCGGGGGCGGCTAACGGTTCCGGAGCGCGCGGAGAGCGGGTTTCCGTACGGCTCGAGGGAGGCGCGCGGGAGCGCGAGGTGCGGGGGCTCCCGGCTGCGAAGGGGTGGGGGGTGCGGAGTTGAGGGCTTTCCGGGCCCCGGAGACCCGAGACCCACGAGAGGGGCTTGGGGGTGGCCGAGAAGAGAGCGGCGCTTTGCAGTTCCCTCCGGGAGAGGGAGGAGAAGCAGCTTGGGGGGGGGGGGAATGCAGGGGAGGGGGCACCTTACTTCCCCCCCCCTCCCCGCCCAACCCGAGCCTGCAGGGGTGAAGTGACAGAGGCATGTGCAGCCAGTGGGCTTGGGGGTCGTTTAAGAACTTTGGGAGGCCTTGCAAGTTTAAGGTCGTGGAAAGTGGACACCCAAGCCCCCCAAGCAGCCCCTCCCCCGACGCCCCGGGAGAGTGAGGCTTCAAGGCTGCATAGCGATGCTCGAAAAATCTGGGAGTATCTGGATGGCGGCGCGGGGGTGGGGTGGGGGGCAGGGAAGAAAGAAGGTACCGAGTGCGGGCGGGGGGGGGGGGAATGGAAAGATGCTGGAGCTTCGCGCTGGATTCGGGGTCTGACCGCATTTTCGGAGGGGAACGGACCTCGGAGGGGAATCGAACTCCTGGTTGCTGAGGGCTGCCAAGGAGCGATCTGGGGGTGTGGGATGGGGGGAAGGAGAGCGAGCGAGCGAGGGAGCAGAAACTGGGAGCAGTTGGTAGCGCCGGGCGCCTCAGCTCCTTTTTTATGAATGTGGGTGACTTTATGAATGAAGCGGGTTTCTTTCGTTGGCTCGCTGCTCTCTCTGCGGCTTTTTTTTTTCCTCCCCCTGTGCTTTTTTTTTTTTTTGTGAATGAAGCTTTGAGCTTCCTTCCAAAAACGCCGGGGTGAGGGGGCCTGCGTCGGAGGCTGGGCGTGCACTGGGAGTGGGGGCGGGGGCGCATCTGAAGGAGTTTTCATGAATGGGGAAGGCTGGGAATCGGGTGGAAGTGTGTCTTGTTTTGTGAATGGGGCCCAGCGCGAGGGATCCAGTTACAGCCTGTACCTGATGGGGCGGCCGCGGCTCGCTCTCCCATTCATAAAACCAGGCCCGCTGCGCGCCGCGGGGGAGGGGCCTGGATCGCGCCGCCGCGCCGCGTTAAAGTTTTCCTGGGGGCACGGGGAAAAGGGGCGGGGGGGTGCACAAAGGAAGTGGTTTAAACTCCTGGATGAACTCGAGCTTTCCCCTGCAGGCTTAAAAAAAATTATACTCTGAACTGGGTTTTTCTAGCCCTTGAACTCCGAGGGCTGCATTAAAGATCCTCAATTTTTTTTGTTCGTGTTTTTTTTTTAATTAAAAAAAATCTTTCTCCCTCTTCTTGGCGATCTCTTTTGCAGCGTATTAACTCGCGAGACTGGAGATAGATCTCTCCGATCTTTCTCCCTCTTGTTCCTTTCCTCCAGTAGATACTTACATGATTTCTAAGGTCACGATTTAATCCGATTTTTGAAGGCGTCAGAGAACTCGTTTTTATTTCCCCGCTCCCAGCTCTCTGCTGAGACTCTTGTATGTGGTTTGAGAAAGACTCTTTACTGTGAACTTTTTTGGCGCTGCCAGTCTAGTCCGGGGATTTTTCTAGGAAGCTCTGAACTGTGCATTTTTGCTCTTCTCCCCTTTTTTTCTCTTTGACTTTGAAACTGTTTCTTTGGGCCAGCGTGCTGAGAGAAGCCTGGCCTTTAGGCGTTTCCTTGTATCTTGTTGACTTCGAAAACTTGGTTTGTTCCACACAGCGTGAAAAACAAATTGGATGGAACTGCCCACTAAGGAGAATTCCCCTATTTTAACAAAAGAATTGTCCTTGAGCATTTTGCATTGTTTGGAGCTGGGTTTAGTGTAACTGTTTTCTCCATTTTTCCGACTTAAGTGCGGTTTCATTTCTAGAATAAAAATATGTACTGGAAGATGGTAGCAAACTAAAATTGGCACTTGTTTTTTTTGCCCCAAGTCAGAAAATGTTCCCTCCTATTCACTTTGACGCTACCCCCCCCCACCCCCAGCCCCTATCTCTCATCCGAGAACCGATTGTGCTGAAACAAGTTTTGTTATTACTGCCTGTTGGAGAGAAATTGACTTCACTATAAGAAATACTTTTCTTTGCATGGGTTTTTGCTTTTAAATACTTGTATTTTTCTAAGCTACTCCGCAGGCATCCATTTAAAATAGGTGCAGTGAAATTTAATCTCTTTCATCCATTACTCTTAATAGCTATTTTATTTTCTTAGAAATGAGTGAGATCATAGATAATCTGTTAAGTTGCCATAGAGATATGTATGACATTCTAGGTACTCCACCTTACTGAATAGGTTTAGATTTTAATTTTAATAAAGGGCTTTTTTTTATAAGACAAGTACACCTCTGATCTGTTATTCCTGAAACTATATATAGCATTTTAACACTGACCTACAAATACTTTTAGAAACATTATGTATGTCAGATTCTTAATTGCCAGTAATTTGGGATGCAAAAACCCAGTTTCTCTACTAACTTACTTTTTACCCAAAATTAAGTTATCTAAAAAAAAAAAACCCAAAAAACCTCCAATGCTACAAGTTCCCCTGAGAATCTTTTATTGGAGAGTATCTTGAAGTCACCCTTTTGTAATGACAGTAATGTCTTGAAAAGAACACTAAGATGACTGAGTAAGTGGCTGTGTCCCTAAGTACATCACAAAGTGTTGATTCCCTGAGTCAATTCTGGTGTCCTGAGTCAGTGAAGCCCACATGCCCGTGGCCTTAAAAAATGTCAGAGAAAGTAAATTTGTACAGGCCCAAGAGAAAGAACAGTGTAAAATTACTTCATTTCTCTTTTTCCCCTCCCGTTGGTTAAAAACTCCCAAATTCCTGTTACAGGAGGACCCCTATCCCCCCAGAAATTACTCAATGCTGAAACCTTTCAAAGTGATCTTAGAGACGTTGGAAGCACCATGGATGGGTTTTATGATCAGCAAGTTCCTTTCATGGTCCCAGGGGTAAGTTTGTGCGGCTTTTGATTTGTTCTATCTCCCAGTCCTGCCACCAGCCCCTCCCAGCCTCCATTCCTACTCTTAGGTCTTCACACTTTTTTGGCCTCTTGCAGAAATCCCGATCAGAGGAATGCAGAGGGCGGCCTGTGATTGATAGAAAGAGGAAGTTTTTGGACACAGATCTGGCTCATGATTCGGAAGGTAGTGAAGGGCTCTGCCTGGTTCTTCAGATGGCGCCCAGGGAAGGGAGCATGTGGGCACTGGCCCCCTGGCAGAGGAATTCTTACCCTGCTGTCTTCTGTTTTTAATTCCAGAGTTGTTTCAGGATCTCAGTCAACTTCAAGAGGCTTGGTTAGCTGAAGGCAAGTTTCTTGGCCGCCCTATTTTCCATATAAAACATTTTACTTTGCTTTTTAATAAAACTTCAAGTTCTAAATTCTATTCTTAATCTCTTTTCCAGCACAAGTTCCTGATGATGAACAGTTTGTCCCAGATTTTCAGTCTGATAACTGTAAGTACCTTTCTCGTGTTGGCCTGAAATTGTTTGCTCTTTGATCATCGGTGTCTAGAAGACTCTTTCCAGCTGTAGCCAGTATATGTAGACAGTGGAATCCATTTTGTTGCTTTTTAATTCAAAACCCTTTTGATTTTATGGTCATGAGAACGTGTTTCATTCCTAATTGAAATTATTTCTTGAGTGTTCTTATTCTGTTACAGGTAAAATTTACTGAAGACTTAATTCCATCTTTTTTTTTTTTTTTGGCTTTAGAGTATTGTAAGACTTCAAACTCAAAATTATAAATTCAGTGACATTAAATGCAAGAGGTTGGTTGGATCCCAGACTTCCCTGATCTTACACTGTTTTTTGGTTTGCTTTTACAAATTGAGTATTTGAGGGAATCTGAATCTGACACTTCCTTTCTTTTAAAGGTGCAGAATATAGATCATGGAAGCTTCCTATTACTGGTGGTTTCATCATGTCCATTCTGTCTCTGTTATAAACTCACATGGGTTGGTCACCCAGCCACCCTGTTTGTACTGTATTTTTCATGTCATTAAGGGCTTTTGATAATAAGTGCAGCGTGGAACTCACAAGATGGCTTTCAGTGCTATCAGGGGCCTGGTGCGCTTTGCACTGATATTTGGGGGCTGTTCTCAGCAGGTTCGGGAGCTTTTATGGTCCAGGCAGAGCTATCAAGGACAAAGCTGGCTGATGAAATTTGAGCAGCACAGGGCAGCTCTAGAGAGCATTAGTCACTGGCGAATGAGCAGGTTTAAGAGAGGCCTGGAGAAAATACTGCCTCTCTTGAGAGTTGCATCATAGAGAAATTCATGTCTTAGTCATAGTTTATAATAGCAAGCACCTGAGCCAGGCAGGGATTTGATTTCGTGTTTTGCACCAACAAAATCTTCAGCTTTGTTGGAGCTTTCCTATTCTGTGTGTGTGTGTGTGTGTGTGTGTGTGTGTGCGCGTTTGTGTACGCGTGTGCGCGCGTGTGCATGTGTGCATGCATGCATGTGTGTGCATGCAAGCCCCATTGGGTGCGAGGGTATCGTTAGTTCCCAGGTAAAGCTGGGTGTTCTAAATTATTAAACGGAAGAACAGAGGTTCCAGCTAACCATTCTGTAATGATAGGCCTTAAACCCAAGGCACAATGCCATGAAACTTTAAAAGGGTCTAAGCTCTAACTCACAGATGCATCAGTTACCTTAGCTTTGTTGCAGCTTGCTGTGGATGTTTTCTATAGGAGAGTAAATGCATGTTAATTATTTCCCTTTGATTGCTTTCAAGTGATTGGGAAACTTGCCACCGAAAGGCTAAAGATAACCCAAATTCGGGGGAGGGGGTGGGGTGGGGGGGAGAGAGAGAGAGCGCGCGCACACACACACACACACACACATACACACGTTTGTGCGCCCACTCGCATGATAAAAGACAGGATTTGTAATCCCACTTTATTGTGTGTTGACAATTTGGCCAGGCCTTTCCAGTTCTTGCTCAGAGCAGCATAAATTGCAGGCGGTTTGGGAGGTGGCTTTCTTGGCAGAAGTTCTTTGAAATGCTTTTATGACACTTTTGTTTGTTTCTCTGTAACCCAAAAAAGAGATAAAGGGGAGGTGAGATCAGTGTATTCAAATAGATTTCATGTGCTAAAGCAAAGGTATGTTCTCTAAAGAAAGATGAAGGGGATTTATAGTGAGAGAGCTGTTTATCTGCAGGAATAGACTAAAGTGAAGAAATCAATAAGTGTGTTTTGGCTCCTTAGAAGTAATCCTGCCCAGCGACTAGAATGTGCTATGGTCTTTCATTAAAATGCCATCCCCAGCACGGAGGTGCTTTGGGAAATGCTCCTGCTACTCAGTGTCACATGTTTCATTTGCCTTTTGCTCTGCCTGTCTTTTGAGGATCAAACAGATGGTTGTGTAGTCCAAGTCCTTTACTAATTCTCCCCTTAACCTCCCCTTCCCCCTCTGATTCTTACTTCTGAATTTGGAGTTTCAAGAAGGATAGATTCAAATATATAAACTGGCCTTGGTGGTTAGAGAGAAATGCAAATGTGACATAGAGTGTCCTGAAGCCATGCTTTCTTTTCATTTTATTGTTTTTGGTTTTTGGGTCACACCTGGCGTCACTCAGGGGTTACTCCTGGCTCTGCACTCAGAAATTACTGAAGGGGGGTGCTCGGGGGACTATACGGGATGCCGGGGATTGAACCTGGGTTGGCCATGTACAAGGCAGACACCCTCCCCACTGTATTATTATCACTCCAGCCCAAACCCTGTGTTCTTCCTGTGTATGAGATGGGTTCGCTGACATTGTAGGGCAGGAGCCGGGCAGGCTTCTTGCTCTTTAGGTACGCCTCATAGCCTTGAGGAGTCCAGCTCCTCTTTGGTACCTTTCTGTAAGAGCCCATTATCAATGGTGGGGAGTGGGGAATGAAAAAAATTCATGCCAATTTAATTAAATCTTAAATTGTTTGTTTGAATTACCCAGTCAGTGATCTATAAATGAAACTTGTACTCGCTCAGGGAAGCAATGGTTTCCCTATACTAGCAGGAACATTTATCACTTGTTCTTCTCTGGCCTGCCACGGGCGGTAATCTGCTGCTAATGATTTGATTAATTTTGCACATTAATTTTCTGTGATTTATGCATGTGAGAAAAGAGTGGAAAAATACTAATGTGGTTAATTGTTTTTATTTTAGAATGTCTGTTTTGAAGATTATGGCTCGCTGTTTTTTTTTTTGGTAAAGTCTAATAAGCTAAACTTCTAAAAAAGATTATTTTATAAAATTTCCGGAAGTGAGTTATAGTCAGCCAGCCATAGGTATGATTTAAAGACAACAACAAAAATATAGTTTTTATAAGATTTAAGAGATACGTGAAGTTAACCTCTGACTGTGCGGTTTTCACCTTACCTCACAAAAAGACATTAGTCAAGAATCTCAAGTCTGGAAACTCTTAAAGGTCAAATCCAGGGGAGTAGAAATTGTAGATCTTGGAGGTTATGCCAGTTCAGTTCATTTCCCCTTTGGTCCTGAAAAGTAGCCAGGATGATACCAGATTGTTTGGGCCAGAAATCCCTCTTAGAGTCTTTTCCAACCATTCATTTCCCTGCGGGGATGATAGAAGGTTTAGATACCTGGAGACTTTCGTGGTTTAGGGTAAATGAGAGGGGTTAGGTGGAAAAAAAGAAGGGAAAAAATTATAAAACAATATTGTTAAGGAAAATTCTCATAAAGTTGCAAAGTCAGAGGATACTGCTGTGTTTAAGGGTGCCCAGGGCCTTCCCTTATTTATTTCAAATAACTAGACAGCCTCAGCAGTCTGCCGCCAGCACGCCTAGTGTTGGAGTCTTCCTCACTCTCGGATTTGAGAAACTTACTAAGGATCTTGGTGCTTGGAGTTTATTTCATCCAGGATTTGGGGAGAGAGAAATTCCAAATTTACAAAACAGAAAAATTGCAAAACTACGTCTGAGTACAGATACAACTGCTTTTATAGATATACATGGCATATTTTAAATAAATGCATGAAAACGGCTTTATCTCTGTAAGGGTGTGTGTGTGTGTGTGTGGTCAAATACATATCTTTAACACATACAGCTATCAAGGCAAGGAACTGGGACGAAGAGAAAGATTTGTATGTCTCTTTACTAGGTATTTTCAAGAATGAACCACAAATCAAAACCTTTGAGAAAAATTGGAAGTTCTGCACTGACTGGGTGCTAAAGATTGTTACTAGATTTAGTGTATCTAAGGAGTGGTTTTTAAACACATTTCAATTCTGAGTTTTTTCAATCTCTTTCATTGCAGTTATGATACTATAAATAATTACCTGTCAGCATCTTGAATAACCAGAGCCTTTTTATGGTCGTGGGAGAGGCATGATAAAATCTCGTTTTAAGCCCTGACCCCCATACCAGATATAATTTAGGCAATTGTTCTAAAATCCACATGACCTTATGTTCCCCTTGAAGTGTTCCTTTTAGATCTGTGGTTCAAAAAGAATAGACCAACGGGGGGAAGTAAGAGTAATTTCCTAAGGACTGGCTAATTAACTGATAAAATCGACTTTTTCATAACTACAGTGCAATACAAGGACTGCGGAAATAGGATTAACTGTTAGGACAACCCTTAAGCCTAAAGCACATCGATCTTAATTCTGTATCAATATGGGATTATTCAACTGGCCTCTTTTTTTCTCTTTTTTTTTTTAACTTTACAGATGAGGTTGGTATCAGACAGCACACTCCTTTCAGGGGAGGGCCCGTCCTTTCAGAGCTTGGTGGCGCCTGTTTCTATTTGAAAAAGTTGTCAGAGAAAGTAAAAAAGAAGAAGAGTAGGGATTTTGAAAAGAAGAGGCTTGAGGGAATCAAGGCTAGCAGTTTCTGCTTTCCAGAGCCAGTTGGAAGGAAGGAGGTGCAGAGCTGAGAGGTTCGAAGGCAGATTTTATAGGGAAACTTGGGAGTCTTCAGTAGGCAGCTAGCTTTCCTCGGCCAGAGTGCTCAGTGACTTGAAATCCCTTTCTGATTTGGTGGCCTCTGATCCTTAGACTTACTGACCCAGCTCCTGGATTCCCCATTCATCGAAAAGCTTGACACCAGCTCTGCTCTCATCTAACTTGGATTCATTCAGCTCTGTCTAGTTGAGAAACAGGATTGTGTTCTTCCTTGTCTGTCATTTGGCACATGGACCCCCAGGAGAACCCAGTAGCTTTTCCTGCCCTTTGTATTTGCTGAGAGAGACTTGGGCTCAGGAATCACATCTGGGCCATACCGGGCAGATCGACTTTGGAGCTTGCAGGCGTAAGATGCTGGCACCCACCAAGCAAAAATTGCTGCATCTCCCCACTTTCAGACATTCTTTGCTGTGAGAAGATTATGACATAGGTAGCTGGAGAAAGCTGTGAACTTGCATTATCTGCCATTTCTAGATAGTGTTGTTTTAATTTCAGTCCAACTGAAGTTGTTCTTCAGTCAAGAACAACTTGACTGGTCATAGGTTGGG